ATAACTAGTTTGTCATAAAAGCTTACAAGCAGTTCTGTCAGCAGCAGTGTAGGCCTCCAAACGCGAGGTGTCGCTGCATGTTTCTTTGTTCCATTGTGAAAACAACCTTCTGGCTTGCCGTAGATTGTTTGAATAAACTTTATTGACAGTGGCATCTGTCCGTTCGGGACATATCCAGCATGGGTGGTCGGCTCGCGCGGATGTTCCGTAACTTTAACGTGGAGAACCGCGCGCTGCGAGAGATCTCCAAGGATAAACCGAGAGCTGCGCCCCGGTACCCCGACAGGGCGCCGCCGCCCTCCGTCAGCGCTGAGGGTGAGAGGCTGGGCGGCTTGTGTAACCGCAGGGGTCACGTTCTCGCTTCTCCTGGCTTCTGGACATTAACCGGTTTTATTGGTGTGTTCCAGCGGCAGAGTTGGTGAAGAAGAAGGACGAGTCGTTGTTGGGTCACCTGAGGTCTGTGTATGTGGAGTCCACGGATCCAGCTGCTGCAGCTGCAGAGGTCAGTGTGAGTCCTGCCTGTCCTCACCTGTCCCTGTCCCTAGCTCTGTCATCCTTTTCCTCTCAGTTAGCGCTCAGCTTATCTGAAATAAAGTCCACTTTAAATAGACTCTCATTTTATTTACTGTTTTTGTTGTACTTTATATCCTAGTCCACAAACATCCTCTTTAACATTTTCCCCTAAATGTTCACATTATGATACATGTTCACATAATTTATTGGCTGCATCTAAAAATATCAAAGATATTTTAAATTTAAACATGAAATGATACAATATAACCTACATTAACTTAAATGATATCATTGTTCTAGGTCATCAAATCAAAGTCTGTAAAATAAGCTGTCTGTAGTGTCTTTAAATGCCCAGCAGGTGTCAGTATTCTGTGAGACAGCATCAGGGCATCATCAATAGAGTTTAGCTAACAGATGCCTCATTATCTTTCACTAGCCATTACATTTCCAGTATGTCTAAACCCCTTTAAAATACTTTAATAATCTCAGGGAGAAATTACTTTAGTTACATTACTCCTTCTGTAATAGAGTGACTATAGAACCACCATCAATTTTGGGGGTCCTTGGCTTGGAAAACATTAAATAGCCGTGTTTTATACCATATCTGTTGGTTCTTCTGTTCTTTTTACAGCTCTGTAGAGGTGATGAAGCAGAATGAATCTTCCTTTTATCCCCTCTTTCTTTCATCTTTTCTTTTTCTGCTTTTCCTTTCCTGTTCTACTTACATTGCAGTGTCCATATAATCTGTAAAACTCCCTGCATGAATTATAATAAAGCAATTTATATGCATAAATCAAGCGGAAAGCTATGGCGATAGCCCTACTGCTCCACTTATGAAAGTAAAATCTTTTTGGTATCAAGACAATTATTCTTACAGGACAGGACACTGTTTAAAAAAAAAAAAAAAAAAAAAAAAAAAAAAAACCTTTTGAAGCTGTTCCACTCCCTACCAGTTGGTGGCAGTAATGCACATGTAAGCTATTCAAAAGCCAGTATTAAAGTAGAAGGAGAAGATAAAAATAGCCATCAATCCAATGCTGTATATTTCAGCTGCATTACTGCCACCTGCTGGTCAGGAGTGTAATAGCTTCATCTGAATTTGTAGAGCCATACTTAAAAGTTTGTGATTCGCACTTGTTTCATAAATAAAACACTGTTCCATGCATGTATGAGATCTTAACAATGAACAAATACAAATACATGGGCGACAGTGGCGTCAGATGTAGGAGCCTGGTTCTTTAAAATGTGCTGCTTACACACGTGCCTTCTGAATGACAGGCCTCATTAATGGATTTATTTTTAC